GAGACGGGAAGCGAAAGAACGAGCAAGACCCATTGCTGGTATAATAACAACCTGGTACTAAGCACACAGGCATCTTGTTAAAGTTATCTTATCTTAGCCAGCACCATATTGATAGATTATATCTATATGGCGCTGATCTTAGCTATCTCTTAGTGGAGGAAAACAATTGTGACATCACTTACGCGACTCTTTGTAGTCTTTCTAGTTACGTATTTTTCATAGTCTTATATTTCAACAGTTTTACGACAAACTGTGACTTTTTTGACATGGAAATGATTTTTTAAAGGGCCCATGTCATGCTGTTCCGGTTATTACCCGTCCCCTTGTGTTATGAAGGTTTTTATGCATGTAAACGGTGTAAACGGCATTTAAACGACTGTTTAAATGTGTAAACTGTGTCGGACTGCTAAGCCATTGACACAGTGCTAACTGTGCTAACTAAGTTGCTAGCGTTTCCATATATCAACTCTAATATCAGCAGATGGCCTTACATACATGTATCTCATAGCAGGAGAATGTCTGCATTCACACACGAAATACTCATAGACAGTATACTCCGGGTGATTTACCGTACGGTCAGTCGCGAAACGTAATTACATTATAGCTGGCGTAGCGTGTATGCTACCGAGCTAAACAACAAGGCTACTAAGAGCTAGACATGAGTTTGCTCGGAAAAACATTTTTTTTATGCCAGCTACAATGAATGTAGCAGACTACCCGTATAAGATTGCAATTGTAAACATGTGCTTGATAGCCCCACTATCTGTTGTTCATAGTATAGTATAGTATATTGAACAACTGAACAACTAGCAAACGTAGATTAGCATTGTAATCCAGCTGGCAAGCTGACGAACATCAAACAACTACGTTTATTTCACACTTCCAGCAGAGACAACGGGGAAATCCCCTCTCTGTGCCCGCTCACAGACCCCCAAAGGACGGTACATTACAGTTAGCTTTCCTCCGACGCTGATAGCATGTATAGCTAACGAGGCTAGCTATACATGCTAGCGGGAAACATTGTATGACCGAACGTAGCAGACTACCCGTATAAGATTGCAATTATAAACACGTTATTGCTAGCCTAATATGAACCACTAGCTTTTGTTCATAGTAGTTTTATTACACTCCATTATAGTTGCCGTTCCTCCAAGCTAACGTTCATATCGTGTTTGCTAAGGTAAACAAGAAAGCTAGGTTAGCATATTAGCTGGCAAGCTTACTGTGTTGATTATATAGATGGATTAGATAGATCCACACTCCTACCACAACTACTACTAACGAATCTAAAACAACTAAGTTTCTCTAATATTTTGTGATTTGCATTTGATTTCGTCCAGCCAGATCCTGCCGGACAATACATGACGGGGACGGGACTACCACACTGAGGCCTAAAAAGCCCCGGCTGCTATAGGCAAGATGCCGACAACGGGGAGGAATGGATGATATACCGTGTACATATGTATATTTATGTTCATTTTGTACATTTCTAAAAATAAAGTTTGATGGAAATACTTAGTAGGCCTATCCTTTCTTCCCTGAATGATTTGCTCCTATAACATATCATTCATATATAGCAAACCATGATTTGATTTCTCATCAAACAGTAGTAGTTTATTACAGGTAACAATAACTTACTCTTCTATAACAACAGTTGTAGGTACAGTTTGGTTAGTTAGCGTATAAAATATACGGCTGTACCGACGCCATTATAAGACTGATGTTCTGCTGAGAGCAGCCGTTTAGACATGGGCGGAGCCTCTCTGGTGGTTGACTAATCAGAACAGAGTGGCCGAGCTGACCAATCGGAGCACACTAGGCTCACAGGGAGGGGGGGGCAAGAGCTCCAACGAGCCGTTTAGTGGAGAGAGTGAATACTGCTGAATACACATGCTTGACAGAGATGCTGTATGCGAAACCAATGTGAGTTTGGAAGATGCACAGTATAAATCTATTTTAGTATACCTCAACAATGTAATTATGATCAGTGGAAATGGCCATGACATGGGCCCTTTAAGATTGACAAACATCATATGTGTAATTCATGGCACAATTCAAACGGGATCGAAAGATACGTTTTCTCTCCCCATTGACTTCAATGCATAATTTTCCGAAATAAGGTCCCATGGACCGTAAGTAGATGGGCGTGACTTCGCCACTCTATATAAACACCTGTGTCATGGAACACGATGATGTCATAACTCCAACTGACATGCTCAGCCCAAAACTTCACAGGTTTGGTAACGATGCAGCCATCAACGCATCTAAGCGTATTATGGGATGTCATCAAATGCTGTTGGCATGGCGACAGATCATTCGCCATCATGTTAGTTCAAAAGTTTGCAGTTCAAATATTCTGCTGCTTTTCCAAGCCTTTTTACTTTTTCTTCTTCTCTCATCACACATTCAAGCCCCCAGAGGTCATGTATCATTTCAATCTAGATTCTTCACTTTCTTCACACATTACATTTCAGCATAGCAGTTTAGCGTCAGCTTTTCAGCATAAAGCATTCCCACTAGCAATTTCTTCAGGAATTGCATTCTCTAGTTTTAATCTGTTTTTCATTACATTTATTAGAGCACTTTTACATCACTACATATTACACATATCAGACATGGAACAGTGAATACAGCAAATCAGGTGAAGAGTCACAAGGACACAAAGTTATGGGTACTTTTTTCTTAAAGGGGACCTATCATTCAAAATGCACTTGTGTACGTCTTTTCTACATGAATATGTGTCCCCGGTGTTCCAGGGAACTCACCAAGTGTCAGAAAACACAACCCTCTCTATTTTCCTCCATACCCAAATCTCTAAAAAAGGGGCTGCAACGGATCTGATCAAAACTGATCCAGATTTGAACACTGTCCTGACGTCAGGACGGTGGCGCTACGGCTATTGGGCCAACTCCACCAATCAGGGGAATGTGGGGTTGGGCCACGGCCATTGCCGCTCGAAAGCGCTGGAGACGCTGTAGTACATATGCCAGGCCTGTAAGTGGCGCTGTAGTCTGCCACAAAAGCAGCGAAGAAGACTTCCCACATAGTTACCATGGTTACCCTTCTGTTTATTCTCCGCTGTGGCTTTCTTTCTCCCTCCCCGAGGCAAGCGTTTGCTCCCGCTGCTTTAATTCAATGCAATCCCTCCCCGTCGAGGCAAGCACTGTAATTCTCTCCGGTTAGTCCACCAGCAGATGACAAACACCCACCTCTCCGCCTCTTCCAAGGAACCAGGGGACCGTGCAGCAGAGTTTCAGTTTCAGTTTCTTTCTCCGGTCAAGATGTCCGTTAAAGTTTAAATCTTCCGGACAAAATTAGAAAAGTGCCGGTCAAAGGTCTTCTTTGTTATTTATTGAGCTTTAAAACAAATGAATAACGACTCTATATAATAAAACACGGAGGACGGAGATCTCTTTTTCTCCCCCTCTTCTGACAGCCCAGCAGCTGATCAGAGCACGTCTCCCCTCTCCTGCAGGGGGGCGTGGTCAGCAGAATCAGACCCGTAGACAGCAAACAGCACATAGAGCGAAATGAGGCATGGCTAAAATGCATGATCTGTTTGGTATTTTGAAAACAGAAACGTATAAATATACCTTATATAGGTATGGCCCTACAATATATCATTTACATATAGCATGAGAGGTCCACTTTAATACATGAGACTTGTATAGCGCTTCTCTAGAAACTCAAAGACGCTTTGACAGAGAATAAAAAAAGGATGTGTGTACTTGTACTTGAGTAAAGGATGTGTGTACTTGCACTTGAGTAAAGGATGTGTGTACTTGTACTTGAGTAAAGGATGTGTGTACTTGTACTTGAGGAAAGGATGTGTGTACTTGTACTTGAGGAAAGGATGTGTGTACTTGTACTTGAGGAAAGGATGTGTGTACTTGTACTTGAGGAAAGGATGTGTGTACTTGTACTTGAGGAAAGGATGTGTGTACTTGTACTTGAGGAAAGGATGTGTGTACTTGTACTTGAGGAAAGGATGTGTGTACTTGTACTTGAGTAAAGGATGTGTGTACTTGTACTTGAGGAAAGGATGTGTGTACTTGTACTTGAGGAAAGGATGTGTGTACTTGTACTTGAATAAAGGATGTGTACTTGTACTTGAGTAAAGGATGTGTGTTCTTCTACTTGAGGAAAGGATGTGTACTTCTACTTGAGTAAAGGATGTGTACTTCTACTTGAGTAAAGGATGTGTACTTCTTCTTGAGTAAAGGATGTGTACTTCTACTTGAGTAAAGGATGTGTACTTCTTCTTGAGTAAAGGATGTGTACTTCTACTTGAGTAAAGGATGTGTACTTCTTGAGTAAAGGATGTGTACTTCTACTTGAGTAAAGGATGTGTACTTCTACTTGAGTAAAGGATGTGTACTTCTTCTTGAGTAAAGGATGTGTACTTCTTCTTGAGGAAAGGATGTGTACTTCTTCTTGAGTAAAGGATGTGTACTTCTACTTGAGGAAAGGATGTGTACTTCTTCTTGAGTAAAGGATGTGTACTTCTACTTGAGGAAAGGATGTGTACTGCTACTTGAGTAAAGGATGTGTACTTCTTCTTGAGTAAAGGATGTGTACTTCTACTTGAGGAAAGGATGTGTACTGCTACTTGAGGAAAGGATGTGTACTTCTACTTGAGGAAAGGATGTGTACTGCTACTTGAGGAAAGGATGTGTACTTCTACTTGAGGAAAGGATGTGTACTTCTACTTGAGGAAAGGATGTGTACTGCTACTTGAGGAAAGGATGTGTACTGCTACTTGAGGAAAGGATGTGTACTGCTACTTGAGGAAAGGATGTGTACTGCTACTTGAGGAAAGGATGTGTACTGCTACTTGAGGAAGGACAGTGTGTGTCTCCTGTCTCTGGTGAGCTGAGTGTAATTGAGGGGTACTGAGTAAAGGTGAAGGTGTTCCTACCTGCCTGGGGGATTGAGTAAAGAGGTGTGTGTGTGTGTGTGTGTGTGTGTGTGTGTGTGTGTGTGTGTGTGTGTGTCCCTACCTGCCGGGCTTGGTGGCGTTGGTGACCTCGGGGGGCTGAGGGTTGGTGACCGTGGGGGGGCTGGGGGGCGCAGCCTCAGGGGCGTCCGACATGGTGGACGGCGGTGACGCTGCAATGCACTGTGGGACGGCAGTGTCTGACCTGAAGGGGAAAACAACTCCCTCTGCGGCCTGAGGGGGGGTGTGTGTGTGTGAGGGCACACAGGTACGTTAGTGTGCGTTCAGTCCAGGTCTCGTTGGTGGCGTCGATTCTTCTGCTCGATGTTTCCCCCGAGGAGACAAACTCCCATCGCACAACCTGAGACACACACACACACACACACTCATTAACAGCTGAAACACAGGAGCCTCAGACATTAAAATACTTCACATTAAGATATTAATTCATCACTAAAGTCCTGTTTCTGCAGGAATATCATTTTCTCTGGGTTTCATATGAAAGGGATTGATGTTATTCTGGAAATGGACGTTTCTCCCCAGAACTATTGACCCATGTTTTGTGAGATGTTTGACAGACTCTTGATATAGATGCTTCTTCAGAGCGGAGACGTCTCTAAGCCAGATGCATACTGTGTTCATGTCTTAAGGAGCCCGTTAGTGGTTGGTAGGAGCAGAGAAGTGTTCAGATGCATACTGTGTTCATGTCTTAAGGAGCCCGTTAGTGGTTGGTAGGAGCAGAGAAGTGTCCAGATGCATACTGTGTTCATGTCTTAAGGAGCCCGTTAGTGGTTGGTAGGAGCAGAGAAGTGTTCAGATGCATACTGTGTTCATGTCTTAAGGAGCCCGTTAGTGGTTGGTAGGAGCAGAGAAGTGTCCAGATGCATACTGTGTTCATGTCTTAAGGAGCCCGTTAGTGGTTGGTAGGAGCAGAGAAGTGTTCAGATGCATACTGTGTTCATGTCTTAAGGAGCCCGTTAGTGGTTGGTAGGAGCAGAGAAGTGTTCAGATGCATACTGTGTTCATGTCTTAAGGAGCCCGTTAGTGGTTGGTAGGAGCAGAGAAGTGTTCAGATGCATACTGTGTTCATGTCTTAAGGAGCCCGTTAGTGGTTGGTAGGAGCAGAGAAGTGTTCAGATGAATACTGTGTTCATGTCTTAAGGAGCCCGTTAGTGGTTGGTAGGAGCAGAGGAGTGTTCAGATGCATACTGTGTTCATGTCTTAAGGAGCCCGTTAGTGGTTGGTAGGAGCAGAGAAGTGCTCAGATGAATACTGTGTTCATGTCTTAAGGAGCCCGTTAGTGGTTGGTAGGAGCAGAGAAGTGTTCAGATGAATACTGTGTTCATGTCTTAAGGAGCCCGTTAGTGGTTGGTAGGAGCAGAGAAGTGTTCAGATGCATACTGTGTTCATGTCTTAAGGAGCCCGTTAGTGGTTGGTAGGAGCAGAGAAGTGTTCAGATGCATACTGTGTTCATGTCTTAAGGAGCCCGTTAGTGGTTGGTAGGAGCAGAGAAGTGTTCAGATGCATACTGTGTTCATGTCTTAAGGAGCCCGTTAGTGGTTGGTAGGAGCAGAGAAGTGTTCAGATGAATACTGTGTTCATGTCTTAAGGAGCCCGTTAGTGGTTGGTAGGAGCAGAGAAGTGTTCAGATGCATACTGTGTTCATGTCTTAAGGAGCCCGTTAGTGGTTGGTAGGAGCAGAGAAGTGTTCAGATGAATACTGTGTTCATGTCTTAAGGAGCCCGTTAGTGGTTGGTAGGAGCAGAGAAGTGTTCAGATGCATACTGTGTTCATGTCTTAAGGAGCCCGTTAGTGGTTGGTAGGAGCAGAGAAGTGTTCAGATGCATACTGTGTTCATGTCTTAAGGAGCCAGTTAGTGGTTGGTAGGAGCAGAGAAGTGTTCAGATGAATACTGTGTTCATGTCTTAAGGAGCAGATGCAGTTTGATGGAGAGTCACTCAGTAATAAACCCTAACCCTCTCATCAGGATGTCTTTATGGATCCTCTTTGAGACACGGAAACTATTCATTAAAGATAGTCACTTGTTTTAGAGTAAAGTACTTTACCTGAGTGTTTCATGCTACTTTATACTTTGACTCCATTCATGCATTATTTGTTAGGCTTTATGTAAACAACCATGTGATAAACATTTCACTTTAAAGGTGGGGTAAGTTTGAGAAACCGGCTCGAGATACACTTGTTATATTCCATGGAATGCTCTTAACATCCTGATAGCAATGAATATCTGAAGTGCTTTGACAACAAATCCATAAATAAATATCATCTGTGGAAGCTGTAGTACTGTAAAAAGCACGACCAATCATCTGAGCCGGCCCGGCTAAAATAACTGGATGGCCTACCTGCCTGTCAGCCTTCCATCTGTGCACAAACTTATCTCGTGCCCTCATTGGTCATGTGGTACTTTGACTTAAATCAGAAGTCAAAGTACTTCTCCTTGTAAACACAGCGTCCCACAATGCATCAGTCCCTCACTACATCACAACAGGTCTTTCTAAAAGTTATTCTGTCTTTTTATAAAACGCTGAGTCATGTTGTATCAAATACATGTGAGCACATCCCTGAAGGAGGGGCGTTTTGCATCTGATGACCCCCCCCTCAAAACCCACCTAACAGCAAAACACACCAATACACTACACTCTGAGAACCCGTCTCACTCCTGCTACCTGTGGACAGGTACACTCTGAGGAGACACCAGTCTCACTCCTGCTACCTGTGGACAGGTACACTCTGAGGAGACACCTGAGTCACTCCTGCTACCTGTGGACAGGTACACTCTGAGGAGACACCTGAGTCACTCCTGCTACCTGTGGACAGGTACACTCTGAGGAGACACCTGAGTCACTCCTGCTACCTGTGGACAGGTACACTCTGAGGAGACACCTGAGTCACTCCTGCTACCTGTGGACAGTTACACTCTGAGGAGACACCTGAGTCACTCCTGCTACCTGTGGACAGGTACACTCTGAGGAGACACCTGTCTCACTCCTGCTACCCTGTGGACAGGTACACTCTGAGGAGACACCTGTCTCACTCCTGCTACCTGTGGACAGGTACACTCTGAGGAGACACCTGTCTCACTCCTGCTACCTGTGGACAGGTACACTCTGAGGAGACACCTGTCTCACTCCTGCTACCTGTGGACAGGTACACTCTGAGGAGACACCTGAGTCACTCCTGCTACCTGTGGACTGGTACACTCTGAGGAGACACCTGTCTCACTCCTGCTACCTGTGGACAGGTACACTCTGAGGAGACACCTGTCTCACTCCTGCTACCTGTGGACAGGTACACTCTGAGGAGACACCTGTCTCACTCCTGCTACCTGTGGACAGGTACACTCTGAGGAGACACCTGTCTCACTCCTGCTACCTGTGGACAGGTACACTCTGAGGAGACACCTGTCTCACTCCTGCTACCTGTGGACAGGTACACTCTGAGGAGACACCTGTCTCACTCCTGCTATCTGTGGTGGGAAGTAACCAAGTACATTCACTCATGTATTTCCATGCACTACTATCATACTTCAGCTCCCTTGCGTTTTGTGAGATGTGTTGTACTTTTACCAACTTCTGTTTACATACAAGACACATCTTTATGATATAATGCAGTACGATACTGCCAATATGTGTACATGTACTTCTGAGCAGTTAAAAGAAGGCTTCATTTTGTATTCTATAATAAAGTACTTCCTGAACAGCCACGCTGCATAATGGGTACTTTAGAAACTGGAAGTACATTTTAGCTGAAATACTTCTATACTCAAGTAATATTTGGAATCCAGGACTTTTACCTGAAGTATTTTCAGACCAAAGTACTTCTACTTTTACTCAAGTACAATATCTGAGTACTTCTACTCAAGTACAAGATCTGAGTACTTCTACTTTACTCAAGTACAATATCGGAAGTACTTCTACTTTTACTCAAATACAAGATCTGAGTACTTCTACTTTTACTCAAGTACAAGATTTCAGTACTTCTACTTTTACTCAAATACCAGATCTGAGTAGTTGTACTGAAATACAATATCTGTGTACTTGTACTTTAGTACAATATGCGAGTACCCCCCCCCCCCCTCTCTCTCCCGGCTGCTGCGGGTTAGCGGCTAACAGCTAGCAGCTAACAGCTAGCAGCTAACAGCCACGGCTGATCCATAAACTGCACAAACCCCTCCAGAGAGCCCATCCACCCCCCCACACACCTGGCAGGTTATTATCACCTGGATCTCAGGTGAACCCGCGCGCTAACTGCCCCCCGCGCGCACTAACTGAGCGTGTTGTTCAGCCTCGCGCAGAAGCCCGTTTATCGGTAGAAAGATGGGCGGGCAGAACACAAGCTAGGTGGCTAAGCTAGCCGAGCTACTCACCGATCACTAGCCCGCGTTAATATAATAGATATCGGCCGTGGCGGTGTGTGATCCCGGGGGGGGCCGGGGGTCGGGAGGACCGGGGGTCGGTGAGCAGGCACCGCCGGTACCGACAGCCGGGAGCGGGCCGTGGGAAGGACCGGTTATGTGGGTGTTTGTGTAGCTAAAGAGCCGTTAGCCTGTTAGCTGAGCTTTGTCTGGAGGCGCGGAGGATCCTCTCTCACACACTAACACACACAACACACACTCACACACACACTCTCGCACACACACACCCCTCCCCGGTACTGTCACTCACGTCGGGTCTCGGTCCTCCGGTCCTCCAGCGAAGCTCCGGTCAGTTTTTTCTGGAAGCTTTTTTTAATTATTTAGCGAAGTAGCATAATGGATGAGTTATCAGCTGTCTACCGTGTGCGCAGGCGCGGTGGAGAGCAGCATCATGGATGTTGTTGTGATCGGGTTGGCTGCTCGGAGAGTGTGAGGCGCTGTGATTGGCTGCGCGGTGTTTGCGGGGCTATGATTAGTTGTTGGGGGATGTTAAGCGCTGTGATTGGTCAGTGAGGTTAGTTTAAGTGCAGTGACTGGCTGCGGCGACGACTAAGCTGCTGTGATTGGTCGCGGAGGCTTACCTGGTTTAGAATGGCGCCGCTATTGGAACTACGTTTCCCAGCATGCAGCGCGGGCTGAACGGACGCCCGCAATGAATCGAGTTATAACTGATCGTGTTTATCGATTACCTGACTCATTAAACTAATTAACATACCTTTTGATCAATTTACCAACTAAACTACCTAACTGATCTTTATATTGATTAACTGATTAAACTCAATAACTGCTACTAGTAATGGTTGACTGATTGAATAAAACAACTGGTAGCATCGAACCAGCCATAGCAGCGCGTGATGCTAGTGTATATAAGTATGACCGATACTGAAGTCTTGACACCATGAACTACAGGCGTACACATTACAATACAGACCCAGAAGCATTGATTATGGATCAGGGAAACACAGACTTCCCATGTTTCACCTTTAACTGGAGTGGATCTAAAGTGGCTCATTAACCACATGCATGCTGGGTCACATGTGTGAACATGAATACAATCATAATCAATGCTTTAATACATATGGAAATGTCTAAAGAGACTCTGTCTTTACACAGAGGGGACACGTGTCTCTTCTGGGGACACGTGTCTCTTCTACATCAACAGGTGTCCCCTCTGTGTAAAGACACTCTCTTTACACAGAGGGGACACATGTCTCTTCTACATCAACATGTGTCCCCTCTTCTTCATGTCTCTTCTACACAGTGGCGACTGGTCATTAGGGGCAGGTGGGGCACAGCCCCACCTAGTGTCAGCAGAAAGTATTACAAATAATGATTACAAAAAATGCAAAAAAAAAAATATATATATATAAATATATTTTAAGGTCATGTTTAATCGTCTGATTCGTCTGTGCATTGCTGTTTTAGTCTGTGTTCTTCTCATTAGTGTCTACAGTGCCGTTTTGAGGCATGTGGGACAAACCTGATCATGCCCCTCCCTCTCACTGTCTAAGTGAACGGTGACTGTAAAAACTACACTGCGCATGCTCAGAGTATTTTCCTATTTAATGTGTGTGGCAAAAAAATAATGACCATAGGGGCACTGAGCTGCCATCCCCACCATACGTCATCTCACATCATTCAGAGCGGCTATTGGCTGTAAGTACGTGTGCCGCGGAAAAGTGTGGTGGGCGTGAAGAGGAGACGAGAGAGCTGCAGTGACGGCGTCCTAAAACCAGGAAGTAAGCTGCGCATGGCTTCCCTCGACAAAAAAGCAATGAGATTTCTCCATAGGATTTTAGAAAATAGCTCGAATAAGATCTGTGGGAAACGTACCTGTTAGATAAATGCACGTTTTGTTTCAGCCGGATAACATCCACATGTCTACCCTACTTTTATCATTTTGAATCATAAATCTATCGATTAGATTTATGATAGACCTTTTGAAACTACAAGAAGATAAGGAGGACTTTTTGTCCAGAAGGATAGGCAAATGGACTTCATCTTCAAGTCAAGGTAAGACCGCCATTTGATTGAAAATGGGATCTTACTAAGAGAGAACAATTCAATATTTAAATGATAAAATTACATTTTTTGGGTATCCTTTTGTTGAATTGTCTGTTTAAAATTAATCGAAGCATCAGACAAAAAAAGCTTTTGAAAATAATATTATATTTGGTTTAGGTCAAAATATAATATTTGTAAACCTGAAGAGTCAGTGCCAGTGCCTCAGCAGCCATGCACCTCACCGCACGTCACTGCAGAAGCTTATATATAGACATCTAAGTTTTTTGTGCCCCACCACTTTTGTACATATAAAAACGCCACTGCTTCTACATCAACATGTGTCCCCTCTTCTTCATGTCTCTTCTTCATCAACATGTGTCCCCTCTTCTTCATGTCTCTTCTTCATCAACATGTGTCCCATCTTCTTCATGTCTCTTCTTCATCAACATGTGTCCCCTCTTCTTCATGTCTCTTCTTCATCAACATGTGTCCCATCTTCTTCATGTCTCTTCTTCATCAACATGTGTCCCCTCTGTGTAAAGAGACTCTGAAAGTTTCAGGAACAAAGATTCTCTCTCTTTGTCCTGATCCATTTCTATAAAACCTGTCTGAAAATGAGCTGATCAGATTTTGGCCACTTGATGATGTCATAACGATGTTTTGGCTTGTGTAACCATTAGCCATCACCACCAAGGTAACCCCCCCCCCCCCCCCCCCACCTTATCACCTGAATCTCCTCCTAGAGCACCATTAGCCGCGTTCACACCAAGTACTTTGCCGTACTCAGTGCACTTATCACCCCAGGGCACTTAGTACAGATCGCGTTCACACCGGAATAAATTCCCTGAGGGAAGATTACGCAAATGAAGCCGCTGACGTCACTTCGTTCTTCTGCTTTGGGTTTACTGGCAGGCCGCAAAACCACTTCACGGCGTATACTGCCACCCGGAGTCCCCGGCCGAAGTCCCGGAGTTGGGGAAGGCTTCAGTAGAAGCTGCTGGGACTCCCAGCAGCTTCTACTGAAGCCTTCAGAGTAAATCACCAGAACGCGACACCTCCTCATCTCCACCGCTCCCATGTTTTCTTTGTGTTGCCATAAGTTCGTATCTCTCCGTTAGTGCGCGGCTAATGCTAATGCTAATAATGCTAATGCCAGCAAAATACAATGGCGGCTCTACAAAACCTTCTGAGTTTACGGGGCGTGGTTTTCAATCGCCCAGCCAATCAGAAAGGGGAATTTTTTCTCCCCAGGAAAGTACCTGCTCTCTAGCAGGGACTATCGGGGGGTGAAAAGGTTCCCATGAACTAGGTTCTAGTTCCGGATTTCTTTGGTTGTGAACGCAACATTTCAAGAACTATCGGAACTATACTGGGTAAAGTACCCCGGTGTGAAAGCGCCTATTAACCTCTTACTATTAAAAAAAGAAAAGGTTCTTTCATGACGTTTTGACTAATGCTCTCTTGACATGAGGAGGAGAGGACTTGTAGAGGAGATATGGTCACATCATTTGTTGAAACTCATCACAGGAAGTGACAGAACAATTGTTACATCTGTTCAGAAAACACAAGGCTTCCAGGGCGTCTGGAGTCAGGTTTCTTTAAAGTCCTTAGAAACAATGGAATTAAGCCTCAGTACTTTCTAACTTTACCAAACTTCAGGTTTTCAGGCTATGACTTCATCATTTCCTGAGAGGAGGAAGCTGTTGTCTTTGAGTCAGAAGGTTTTGGGTTCAATCCCAGCAGTATAATGTTGATTTATTCTGAAGGTGATAGTAGGCTGACTTATGGCGCGTTTCGACTACAGCGCGGAGCACGGTTTAAGAGAGCTTGTGACGTCAGCGGCCCGTCTTTGGTTGCGTTTCACTGGCGTAGTACCAGCTAGCGGGTACTATTTCCAGATTTTCTGGCCCATAAAATCGTGGTTCTATCGGGGCCAACAAACGAGGCTGAGTCGGGTGAGTATGCTAAACTAGAGAGAGAATCGCTGGCAAGGGGGCTACACTAAAACAAGATGGACATATTTGACCGTGATTTAATTGTAATACACGTTTCAAAATGATGCCGAAGTAACAACATACTGATACCGGTTAGTAAAAACCATGAATTAATGCTTTGACAAGTCTGCAGACAGAGGGAAGGCGAAAACCTTTTTAAAATGCGTTGTTTTCTGAATGGAGGTCGGCTAAGCTAACGCAGTATATGCTCCGACCGTCCACACTCAAACAACGGCCTATACAGACATAATAAAGCAGCGACTGTATTCACCATGACACAGGCAGTCTGTGGTTTGTACTGTTTAACTTCTGTCTAGTTTCTGAACAGATATGAGGAGCTGTGAGCTCTGAGTGCTAACAGCTAAGGCTGTGGTTCTCATTGAAGATGACGTCACGGCTCCGCCTACACTGCGTTACTATAGTACTACCCCAGTTCCTAAACTGTAATGGAAATGCGCCCATAAAGTGAGCCGGTCCTAACAAGGCCTAACTATACCAAGCGGGCCGAGCGAGGCCGTGTAGTGGAAACGCGCCATTAGAGTTACCGATAGAATCACAGTGTTCTTGTCCTTTAAGAAAGGGAAGGATTCAATATTAAAGTTCCTACTGAAGAGTTTATGATCTGTAGTCCACCTTCATAAAGACAACCTCGCTTATGATTCTCTTAACCACAAGGTCCAGGATAGTGGTTAGGAGAAGACCAAAGGAGCCACCACAACCTACTGTCTGTCTTCTTCTTCTGATTCACATCATGAACCAGAGCTCTCCAAAAACATCATCATTCATATTGAAAAAGGACAGGAGACAGGAAGTGGTCTGATTATCAAGAAGCTTATTTATCGAGGGAATAATTATCGTCCTGGGCTTGTGCTGCCGCAGGAGGCATGGATGCATGCAGCTGAGACGAGCAGACAGGCAGGCTACGAGACAGACAGACAGACAGACAGA